TCTCCAAGCAATGTAGTTCTTGCTGCAGTGGAAAGTGCCGTCTGTTTTACAAAATTGCGGCAACATGGAGCGATATAAGTTAACCTCTATGGGCTCTAGTATCCGTAACATTAGGAGTTAGAGATATAAAGTCCCCATCATGTTGTGCTCATTTTCCACAAGCTTGCTAGTAATGGACAACATAGTGAGGGAAAAGTGAGCGTAATAGTCTACAACTAAAAACATGTAGGCTAGCTGAAGTTGGTTAGATCGTTGGTGTATGGTTTATTGGCCGGCAGCAAAGTGACAGGACACACAGTTGATCCCCTGCTGCTCAAACATAAATCCTTGAATGTTCTTTGTTTCCTTCACAGCATTTTTTTGAGTTTTTGTGCGTTCATGAAATGACTGCATTGCGTAATTCTGGCCATATTTGTCCTGGCAAATGGTGGATGATTCAGGCTTCAGTTAGCAGTAGCTCTCTTGAGCTCTGTGTCTCAATAGTTACAATTGATGCAGAGTATTTTACAGTGACTTCAAACATGGCTCAGCCAATCATAACAAAGCCTTTAATTTTTTTTCTAATGTTAACACTGGATGTATTTCCTCAGATACTTCCACAAGGTCCCAGCTGAGGCGCCTCAGCTGGAGCTGAAGGCGAGTTACGGCCTGGCTGAGCCAATCCCCTTTGAGCTGCCGCCTCTCAGTGAGCAGTGCACTGCTGAAGTCTATGCCACCTTTGACCTGACCAAGGGATCCAAAAATGACAAGGTACTGCAGTTCCCCACCTTTATTGCAACATAGGCTGGGATACAGCATTCACAAACACCTTATCAAGTCTTTACTCTGAAGAAAACCGGATTAATAATTTCCATCTGCTTCTGACGCTGTGTTGTTTCACATCTGTGTGACTGTTGTAGGCCAAACCCAAGGAGGAGGAGGTGAAACCAGTGAAGGAGCCAGATCTGAAGCCTCAGAAGGACACAGGCTGTGTCCTCTCCTAAACTCTAAGCACTCTCCACTTTTAGCCTCATGCTTCAGTACCATCTATTGTAATGATGGCATTCATATTTCTCTTTATGTAAACCTCCATAGGAAAAATGTCTTTTTTTGTCATATTAATCCATGGTGTTTTAAATTTTATGCTGTGTATTGTATTTGGGTATTACAGCCAGTATCCTAGCATATAAGCCAGAGCCAGTCAGCAGAAATGATGACTTTGAATTAGGTCCTCACATGTCGGAATTACAAGTAAAATGATGATAAATAAGCCTTATTGGTAAAGTAGTCATATTAATGGTGCCTTTGGCTGCAATGTAAACCTGCTCACTGTGGCCTCTTGTACCCCTTTTCCACCAACATGGAACTGGTTCCATTCGGGTTCCTGCCCCTTTCGTTTGAACAGTTCAGCGAGCAGGCTCAGCGGGAAGCACAGTGACAGCTGCATTCAATGTAATATAGTTACCAAGTTAACTGCGCAGATGGGGGATCTGAAACATTTTTTGCTGACATTAGATATTACACAAAAGCCAGAGACTGTGTCGCGTTAAGTTGCAGTGAGCTGTAAACTCACCACTTCTCAGCAGAAAAGAGATAATGTTATCTCAGAGTCTTATGATGCAGAGTCTCTCCTCATCTCTGCTGCTGCATCCCCAGCTACCTGTAACAAAGAGTAGCATGAAAGCAAAGGGCACTCACTCTGCAGCAAAATCTGTGGGCCAAAACTCCCCCAGAAGTACACTGAACAACACACTGACTAGTAAAAAAAAAAAAAGACTGCTTGACATGAAGCAATCTCAGTCGATTCAGGGGTCTCTGACTGATGGTTCGAATCTCCAACTTTAAGGGGGCAGCCCTATAGTCCATGCTTGTTTATTGGATAAAAACAAATATCTGTAATAATAGAACAAAAGCTCACGGGTAATCAATGAGATCCACCATGTTGTTACCACTAATTACTGGTGATGGCCAAATGAAGCCTCATGAAGCATTGTCTTTGTTTTATAAGCCTACTAGATGATGCTTTTTGTTCAACAAATGGTTGAAAGCACATTGAAATGCCAGCCTTGGAGCCTCTTTCTTTAAACCCGAGAGCACCGTCTAGTGGGCTCATAAAATAAAGAAAATGCTTCATGAGGCTTCATTTGGCCATCACTACTGTCTACGTCTGCTGTGCATTGTGCAACACCATCCAATCTCGATGACAGTGTTGCCTCTCAATACTGGTGGACCAAGGTTCCAAAAACCTGAACAGAACCGGTTCAAGAACGAGAACTACTTTGGTGTAAAAGGGGTATTACAGAAGTGTCTGGTTTTCACCTTTCTAGCCCTAGAGTGCTCTGGTCTAATTAAAGAGGACTCAAATATCGGACACTGGCCTACTAAACATGCTGAGAAACAGCCTCAAGATATGGATCTAAACAAAGACACAGCAGAAAACTCTGGAAACTCACAATCAGCCTGTATCTTAAAATACTGTTAGATGATTTGAATGCATTTCAACACATGATACTGAACAAAATTGAAATTTAAATGAGTAGTGGACAGACAAAAAGAACAGGACTGCATGTGTCATTGCTGGTGCATTTGGTTTATATTAGCTATAGTAGTTTACAGTCAACACTTAATTTGGATCACATGATGTATGTACTGTAGCTCTTTTTGTACATAACACAACATAGCTGTTTTTTTTTAACTTCTATTCATTTAAGAAAACTTTATTACTGGATCAATCATTCTATAACATGCCTAGGGAATCTGTGATATATCCCTGCTAGTAGTAGATCTTAATTTATTTCTGTTGTTATGTAATGATATTTTAGTTAAAAGCACTTCTGATAGTATACAGTTCTATGTAAATCAAATCCTTTGTTTCAGGTGATGTTGATTTTAGCGTTTCAGTGGATGCACCAGAACACCCACTAATACATACAGTAAAATGCTTACATCCGGGCCACACTGCCTGTGTGAGCAGCATGTGACGGCTACCTCGCTGAACTGCTGCAGCTCTCATGTGTATGGTGTTCAGGATTCCACACAGACAGCGTTGCTGCTGCAGAGCTGCCTGCTGCTCTGCCTTCCACAATTAAAAGACAGTACTCTACTAATTTATGGAACCTGAAAGCCACTGCCTTGTCAGCACATATTTCACTTCACCTTTTATCAACAAATGAAGGGATTCTGTCGACAGAAACACTGTCAAAAGCCTTTTATTTTAAAACGGAAATAGGGAACGTTGAGTTAAAAAGATTATATGTATCCAACTGTGACTGATGAAGACATTAAAACTGTAGTAAACTGTACGGTATAATTTTAATATGATTGTTAAAACACCATTTTCACTTTATATTTTTGCTGAAACTGCATGTTACATGGAAAAAAGGAGACAAGACTGCTGTTCTCCACTGAGCAACACTGCTTACGTGCTTACGTACGTACTTTAACTTGTTAACATAGGCACCAAAAACAAATAAAAGAGGTTCTGTGACACACGCACTGCTCTGCAGGCAGTGTGGCCTGGGCGTTACAAATGTAAACTTTTCAATTGCTGAGAAAGTGCTGTTGTCAATACACACACACAATGTATGTACACTACATCTATTGAGTGTTTCCTTTCCTTTAAGACAGAGATTGGAGAATGAGCATTATCAGATGAAGTGTGGTGTCTTAATTATTTTATGTGCTGCTGAAGAGCTACTCCGCTGATTGACTGATGCTGTCAAACCTCTCCCGCTTTGAAAATAAAGTCGTGTCGGTTAAACTAAACTAAACTGCGGGAGACTTGCATATATTGTATTATACTGCTCACATGTACTCATTTATGCCCCTACATGTATATTGGCTTCCCTGAGCTAGACTCCAACAGCAGTGAAAAGCAGACAAGCTGTCTTGCTGAATTTATTATAGCACATTGTAACACTTTTACACTTTATGTTGAGTTGTGCAGGGGTTGCAGTGGGGATCTGATGGAGTTATAATAGCCAAGCCATGTAAACACTGTTCACTTTACCTGGAACAGCAATTTAAATGATAAGAAATCAGACCAATGCTAGACCTTTATTCTTTCAAGGCATCTGTTTATGAAAAGGGTGTGTCCATTCACTATTCCACTCTTGTAGCTCATTATTCTTTCTCTAGTGGTGTCCTTCATGTAAAATGTATTTCTATAGCAGTATTAAATCATCCATAAAACTCCATTCTTCCATGACTTGTGCTAATGTATGTCAACATGATTTAAAGGTGCAGTTGGTAATGTTATATAAACTTGTTTTTGTGGCACTCTCACAATATCTGACAGTAGTACGTGAGACAGATTATCTGTGGGGGGAAAAAGTCCCTCTGTCTCATAGTGATTCTGATAGTATTTATTTGAATTTACCACAGCTGCACAAAAACAACCAATAAGAGCCGAGGAGTCTCCAACGCAGAGGCCTCGTGAACCATTTTTTAAAAATTTCTGAGCCCACTAGATGACGCCGTTTGTTGAAAGAAAAATGCTCAATGAATTGCAATTCAGTGTGCTTTCAACAGTTGAGCAAAGAGCGCCATCTGGTGGTCTCTGAAAATGCAGACAGTGTTTCACAAGGCTTTATTTGGACATCACTACTTGTGTGGCTCTGGAGGAGCTCAGGGTTACCAAGGCTTGAACTTCCAGAATATAAATTTGTAACAGAAAGCCTTCGTTTCAAAGACATGTGGCGGGTCACAAATCCTAAAAATACACTTTAAGCAGTTAGTATCCAATATAATCATCCCATTTTAAGATGGAAATTATACAATACATTCTTTGTCAATCAAATTGCAACTTTTGAATGTTGAACATTACTGCCAATTAAAAAGTGTTCATTTTGACCACTATTTTAGATTTAGTCTTATCCTTTAGACAAAAATGCTTAGTAGTTTAAGTCATTTTTATCCTTAATAGTTTTAGTCTAGTTTTAGTCAACAAAAATTCAAAACATTTCAGTTGATGAAAATTCCTGACATTTAAGTCAACTTTTAGTCATTATGTTTTCTATGTTTTATATCTTTAAACTAATCCAGTGAGGCTAATTAATGTATCAGAAATTAGAATCAAGGTGACAAGCTGTATAAAAATTTCAACATTTTCAACAGCACAGCAAGCCCAGCCCCTTAAGCCTTAAAGTGAAACTGAGGGTTACAGTGCCAGCCCTCTAACTACCTGTCTGCGATACCGTTTGCACTACTGTATTTGCCTTCTCAGGTTTCAGGAGTGATCCTGTTGTTGTTTTTCTCCACAACGCAGAGTCAGCTTGGATGGATGGACACACAGTACAGCTGTGACACGAGAAAGACTTGACTGTGTTGCACTGCAGCGACAAAGAAAGACTTAAGCGTGTGAAGAATGAACAGCAGGCACCAGGAAGTAAGTGTTGTAATAATGAAGCAAGACAAACAGACATGTTAGCTTACATTGTGTTCAGTAACAAGGTGGAAGTTAACAGCTAACAGGTGTGTGTGACTCATTCCACTCTGTAGTCTGATGCAGTGTGTGTGTGTGTGTGTGTGTGTGTGTGTGTGTGTGTGTAAAAAAGCCTATAAAATAACAACATGCAGGACATAGATAATGTCATATAAAGACAGCATGTCAATACAATCAACAGCTTCTGTATAGACCTGTCCAATCTGTCAGACATCAGCAGACATACAGGAGACAGAGTTTGGGAGTCCTGCCCTGTCCAAACAGAGGAGGATCATCCACTTCTCCAATGGAGAAACTCTGGAGGAGGAAGACAGTAAGGAGGAGGAGCAGGTCTCAAACAGACCTCCCTTCTTGGAACCTGCAGAGAAGGTAGGACACCGGCGACATTTCATATTAGATGTCATTAAGTGGCAGTCATGTCATCTGTTTTTTCTGCCTCTTCTTTCTCAGGCTAGGCTGTCATTCAAGAATGTGGCCATTCTAGTTGGGAGGATTTCACTGCTGAGTACGTAACCTTACAATTAATTGCAGCTAAACATACCAAATCAACAGTAGACCTATCCATAGCTATGACAAAAGTCTCACTGAATTACTGCATCTTTGTTGCCAAAATTAGCTTGTGATTTCCTTGGAGAGAGACTGGCTGGTGCACTAGGATTGACTGCAGCCAAATACCAGTATGCTATAGATCAGCATCATCGAAATCAGAAGGTAATGTAAAATTCAAGGGCTACAAAATGAGAAAAAAATTCCCACTCTGTTGAAAACAAACTGACAGGCCAATGGATGTTTTTGTTTTTGTTTTTTGTTTTTTTACTGTATTTCACTCAGTGCATTTCCTCTTTCTCACTAATAGAGAAAAAGCAGCAAAGCCACAGACAACCTGATGGAAGGACAGGCAGAGACGATCCAACTCTCTCCGGGACTGGATGGGAGTCATTATGGAGCTACAGGACATATGAAATGCCTTGCTGATTCCCAGGAGAGCTGCGATGAGAAACATATGGACACAAGCAGAGGATGTCAAAACAGAGCCTATCAGGCAGATGAGGATTATTTGAAATGAAACTAGAAGAAGGAAAATAAAGGGTTGTGATTTGATGTGAAAGTCTTCTGTGTCAAAAATAATGCAGTATTGCCTGCTTTAATTTAGTTCAGTTCAATAGAACTTTATTTATCCTGAGGGAAATTCTTGTGCCAGAGAATGCTTTGAGTATAGTAACACAAATTACAGTAACAACAATTAACGTTCACAAACTAGTAACAGCCAGAATAATTGGTGGGTTACCCGAGTCAGGGTCACACACTGGGCCCAGTTTTTAAAACAATAGATTATTAAATATCACTTCAGTCAAAATATACAAAATATAAAGTGTTTAAGGATCAAAAAGCAAAAATCAGCTCCTAATAGAGTAACAACAGAGGTGCAAGAGTTACAAAATTGAACTAAAACAGATTGCCATGGTATTATTGCACATGATGTTGCACAAGAAAATGAAAAGTAGTATTGTAATGTACATCATGTTAGTATGGTGAGGGCTATTTGTAGTATATTTGTTTGTAAGATTTTGTTTTAATCAAATTAAATCAAGTAGCCTATTTTATCATGATTGCATAATTAGCTGATTTATTAAAGAAAAATGCTATGCTGCTGTAGGAGCGGTCACAAAATCAACGTGCACTCACTTTAAATTATCATACGGCCTTTTATTTCGGCTCAGGACAAACAGAAAATTGATAAATCACCTCGGTTCATTGTGCGGTTGAAAATTGTTTGCCCTCTCCTGCACACCTGTTCACCTGTCCCTCATATAGACTAAACCACACCTACCATCCCCTCATCCTACCAGACATCATATCTTCATCATGATAACGACCAAGGCAAACAACAACAAAACGCAGGAGATTCCAAGGCATGAAAACGAAAGACAAGGAAAATTCAAATTAAAAAGTGCATCATAATAAATAATAAATGTGAATGGGTGGCGCATCTGCAAAATGGCTTCACCAGCTGCTGTTTGCTGGTAACACAATATCTAAAGGGGCGGTCATGTAATATGGTCATAATGTAAATTTGGTAAAACACGAATAGCACTGACCATATTGCACAGTTTTAATAGAATACTCCTGAAAAACAAAACCTATCGACGAGGATGGGATTCGAACCCACGCGTGCAGAGCACAATGGATTAGCAGTCCATCGCCTTAACCACTCGGCCACCTCGTCCGCGGTACAATGTCCAATAAACACAGTCACTATGAAGCTATATCAATGTAATGCATCTTGTTATAGTCATGACTGAAAACATTATCTTGCAGGCTTAAACGTGCTATTACGGAATGCTAATGTGCTAATAAGTCAAGCTAATGTTGACTACGACGTATCTGTGTCATGTGCAATACCCCGTCCTTCACCCATAACCAAGCACTGCACATCCCCGCGACGTGAATCGGTAACGTTAGCATTAACGTTACCTAAAGTATTTTGCAACACCGCTAAACTAGCATTCAGTTGGATATAACTTTTTCACTAGCGTTAGCTAACGAATACGTGTAGCTTTCGTTCAGTCGTTTTTCTGTTTCTAACCAGTTTACAGACTTACCACCACTTACCAGGTCAAGTGAACATAATAGTTGCAGTCGATCTGTCGCCTTAACTTACCCACTCGGCCAAAAGACGGTGCTGTAGTGGTACTGAACATAGGTGTAGATGTTTTTTTTTGGGGGGACGTACACAACGGACACGTCTCTCTCAAAGTTTAGAAGGACATTTAAAGACATTTCCACCATAAATGCCATGGATGTATGAGGTGAGCCCCAAAACGCTGTGCTGCAAACTAAGTCAGAGTGCCTCACCAAAAATCAGGGCCAGGGGCTCCTAAAAGATAATCAGGGCACAGAGAGAACAAAGGAATAAAAGGAGCAGAGAGGCAATGTATAAATGTCTGGTAAAAAAAAGAGTGCAGAAGCACCAGGTATGACAGGCAGAGCTGAAGGTAAGGTAGACTAAATTTTAGTGAATAAAACCTACAGAGAAGACACAGGTATCAACAAGAGGGCCTGATGCATCAAATGTTACCAACCATGTCAAGCTATCTTGTCAGAAAGGGGGTCAAATAATGCTCCAAAGTTACGCTGATTTTGGAATATTGTCATTTTTCAGATATCTGCATACTGTGGTCCCTTAAAAGTCTTGGAATTTCATGTTAGGTATAACTGGAAAACTGAGAGTTGACAGCCATACTATATTTTTCCTCCACCCTAGTGTTCTGCACACAATTTGACCAATATTTGACTTAAGTAGCCTCAAGATTGAATGGAAAAATGAAGGAAAAAATGATCTTATAATTTAATACCTTGCAGTAATTTTTTCAGTCAGTGTTTGAATTTATTTTTCTCTAATCATTCATTTGAGGAACTTTTTTTTTTGTTGCCCAGGACACACATGACTACCTCTGTTTTCAAATATTTCCTTAACGTGGAGCTGATACAAAATACATGTGGAAATAAGATTGATTAGATTATATTCACAGCAAGTACAAAACAAATAAATTAATAAATCCCATGTAGTTGTGAGGGGAAACTACTACACCAAATTTGGTGTTTTTATCACAAAATGAGCAATTCGTCAGTTATGCAGCTGCACTATATTTTTTGTGTGTTCGTAGCATGTTGTAAGTTGAAAGTCCATTGATAATTTCTGTTTTCATAGTTTCTGGCTGTGATAAATGATGTAATTTCTGTGATTTTTAAAGAAAACTTTGGAAGGCATGTTTTCTCCAAAAACTGGCAGTAAAATAAATTCAAATACAACCTTTTAAATTTGTTTGCACCTGACCTAATCCAATACATATATGTATGTGTATATATATATATATATATATATACAGTACAGGCCAAAAGTTTGGACACACCTTCTCATTCAATGCGTTTTCTTTATTTTCATGACTATTTACATTGTAGATTCTCACTGAAGGCATCAAAACTATGAATGAACAC